AAAATCAAAAGGGTAGTCTAATTCTTCAATTTGTGTCTTAGGAAAACATTGAAGGGGCCCCAGGAATAGCCCCTCTCAACTTTTTCCTCCTTCCCCTTTTCTCTTCTTCACAATTTCCTTATCCTGCCCTTAAAACAAAACCTGTCTCTGTCCCCAGTCTCAGGGCTCATTTTTCCTCTTTCCCTTCTGACTTCTTTCTCCCACTTTTTGTCACATAGATCATCATAGCCTGTGCTTCAAAGTTCTGTACCTTTGCACTTGGTTTCTCAAGTTCACTTTGCTACCCATTGGTTAATTCCATGTCCTAAAATCCAGGAATGGACCTGAGAGAGACACTATGATGGGGAGAAGCTGATCAAGCAAAGCCATGTCCTTATTTAGGGTAGGGGGTACAGGCAAAGGCTAGGTATACATACACACACACACACACACACACACACACACACACACACACACACTTTCAACCCCATCAGAAATCTGGGAGAGAAAGGGACCTAAGCTTAAGTTGTCAATAGTAATGATAGAAAAGAATGATGGGGATGCCTAGGTGGCTCAGTCAGTTAAGGGTCTGCCTTCAGCTCAGGTCATGATCCCAGGGTTCTGGGGTTGAGCCCTACATCAGGCTCACTGCTCAGTGGGGAGTCTGCTTCTCCCTCTCCTCCCACCCCCCACTTGTACTCTCTCACTCTCTCTCAAATAAATAAATAAAATCTTAAAAAAAAAAAAAAAAGAATGTGGATCTGAGAAGCATTTCCAAAATAGAGCTATAAGACTTGATGATGAATAGAAAATAAAAGAGGAAGGAGAGGAGACAGATGAGGTTCTGAGGTCTTAAACATGAGTAACTGAGTAAAGGTCAGGATGTTGGACCTGTAGATGTGTTAGGGAGTGTAGGGAGTGACAGGTTGGGAGAGCAAGAAGTGGGTGGTTGGGATTTGGTTTAGGTGGGTGTATATGGATCGTGAGGAGGCTTTTGGTTATCTTACATCTAAAGTGATATTGGGACATCCAAATGGAAGTGATCAACAGGTGGTTAGGTATATGTGAAAGAGGTCAAGGTAGTAAAAGATAAAGTTTGAAAGCTATCTGTATATAGGTGAGAAGTGTGGAGACAGACCTCATTTTCCTGCTAAGAATCCACATGGATGAAGAAAATGTCTCTAGGACAGAGTAATAAGAGGAAGAATCCAATTATAGACCGCAGGAAGATGAAGAATTTACTAAAGAAACACGGGAACTAGGTTTTCAGTCTAAAAGAGACCTTTATAGGACTCAAGGGAAGAGTTGGTTTTAGGAAAATGGTGGGTGGATACAACCCTACTTACCCATTAAACTGTGTTTACAAATGACTATTTAATGACAAGGGGAAAATTCTCATGATACATTTATTGAAAACTATTTAGAAAATTGTGTATAGCATCCCAGTCTCTTTCTCTCTCTCATACACACACACACACACACACACACACACACACACACACACACACAGTGTGGGGCGGGGAGAGAGAAGGAGAAATTATAACCAAATGTGTATAGTGTTTATTTCCAGGTGGTAGGATTTTGGGTGATCTTAATGAAAAAGAATGTCATTATTTAATCTTAAATAAAAAGAGAAATTTTAAATTTTTATATCTGTCTTTTATAATTTGTATGATGAGTGTACTTTATTCTCATTATCAGAAGAAAAATCATTTTATTAACATAAGTTAGAAGAAGAATAAATAATATATATAAATATAGGGCTACATCATCTCACTTAATGCCCATAAATATGGAACAGAATAAGCAGCATGGTCCCCTGTTTCCTGGTAAGGAAAGTGACTCTGAGAGAGATATAGGAACTTGTGTGAGTCACATAGTAAGTGGTGGAGCTGAGATTCTAATCTCGTGTTTTTTAAGGCACAAGGTACATATACACAGTCAGCTAAAATGTTATATCAAGTGAGGGAAAGAAGTTGGCTGCGCAAACAGTACATTAAGAAAAGACATGTAGGGGGCACCTAGGTGGCTCTGTGGCTTAGGCATCTATCTACCTTCAGCTCAGGTCATGATCTTAGGGTCCTGGGATTGAGCTCTGTGTCAGGCACCCTGCTCAGCGGGGAGTTTGCCTGTATCTCTCCCTCTACCCTGCCCTCTGCTCATGTTTTCCCTCTCTCTAATCAATAAACAAAATCTTTCTTTAAAAAAAAAAGACATGTGGCGAGAAGGAAGGTACCAATGGCTTGCAAGTATAGAGTGTCCACAGGATAGCAAAAGTGAAAAGCAATTTTCTTTCTTGATGAGAGGGGACTGGTGGGGAGATGGAGGCAGATTTGGGGCACTTGATAATAAGTGTACAGTTTACCAGTCAAGACAGCCCAGGCCAGGCTGGGGTAACAGCCAGACAGTCCATCATCTCATGGTGTAGTTGTTGCAAGAGAGATTTATACCTTGCTTATGTGATGTGGGTTGACCTTGAGCTTCACTGTGGTCACTGGGAGACTCAGGCTGAAGGAGACATCATCTGAAACACACTTCTGTTATTCTGTTATTCTGTTATTCTGTTAGGGAAAAGGGAAGGTTGGGCTTAAGTACTAGCACTTAAATGCTTCTACCTGAAAATGACAATGATTTTATTGACCAAAGCCTCACCCCAATTAAAACAGAGTGGGGAAGTTTGGCCCTACCATGTGCCCCTACAGAGGAGAACTGGAATATTGTTAATCCACCCTAATGGCCACCACAAGAGAGAAAACATTTCTTGTTTTTTAATGGTCCTGCTTTGGTAGCGAAGGAAATAGTTTTCAGAACTCTAGGTGTTTAACCCGGAGGTATCATGGTCATCAGTAGGAAACTGAGACTCAAAGAATCAAGTGATCATTAGTACAAAGTCACAGAGAGAAACAGTGGCTTTGTGAAGACTAGAACTATGTATCTGAGGCCAATGACCCCAGTGGTCCGCAGTATACAATACTCACTGGCCTGGGGTATATGAATTTGGAGGAGCCTTAGGCCTTGGCCTAAGAAACTACTGGAGGGTCTGCTTGCTAGGTGTTGAGAATAGTAGTCTTACCTCATATTAGGAGTTACTGATGCTAGAAGCCAATGTCATCTCCATCAGTAAAAACTCTGGACCGTATTTCTTAGGCGCCCAGGTTTCTGTATGTGGTTATTGCTGAAATGACCAGGGAAGACTACAAGTCATTAAACTCTAAAGTGTAATTGTTAAAGTTGGGTTAATATAAAACTAGCTGGGGCTGGCCCCAAGCAGTAAAGTGGTGTGTGAACTAAGCACTGGGAAAGCCAGTTGAGTGGCTCTGTATCTGTGGATTACAGACAGGTCAGTGTCAACTTAATGAGAGAGGGATTTAGCAGGAGAGAATCCTGGATAGTCTCCCTCTTCTCTGAGATCAATAGTGCATTTGGAATAGAGAGCAATTTACGAAAGGAAATGGGGTCATGAGGACACAGTCCATCCCATAGAGGGTTAGGCAAACTGAATCCGAGTTGGCACTTAGAATGACCATAATTCTGATATTTTTTTATGCTGCTATCAAAAATAGGGGGGAGGAGAAGAGGAAAGATATCTGTTTCAGGCTCACCAAGCATTGCTTTGTCGAAGGGCTGCTAGTCATATTTATAATATTCTATAAATTTATATGAGATTTAAATATTACAATTGCTTTTAAAATTTTGTCTATTTCTAAAGTTAAATAATACTATTTATTCTACAATTAGGCAGGTGTGGTTCTGGGACTTTCATGGTTAACCTTCATATTCCTTGCTTTTTAAACTGTTTTTGGTTTTGGCTTTGATTTACATTATACGGTCATCAAATTCCTCTTTTTATCAGGGAAAAATGGAGGGTTTTCTGCATCTTAAAAGCATATAATTTACCTTGGATGTGAACTATAATGCTTATTCTGAAAAAATTCCATGTAAAACTGAAGAAATTGTGTAGAAAGTCTTTATGAATTGGCACCTAACATGTCATTGACACATTTTGAAGGGTGTTCTGTTGACTTTAGTGATGGATGATCCCATTCTGCCAAGTTCAGCTGGAAATGGGAGGGTGGCTTAGAAACCCAAATATCAATCTAGAAACTTCCTGGAACCGTGGTTTTAAATCAGCAGGGTGGATGCGGCCTGCATCTGTGCAAAGGATGGCATTTCACTGGCTCGCTCCACGGAAGTCTCTGGAACAGAACCGTAAACACCAGCACTCTTTGTTGTGTGTTGGCTTTTAAAAGCCCCCAATGGTTTAGGGAGAATAAGGCCTTGCCTTGGGGCTCCCTGGTCCAATTTTTTGGGACCTGGCTAAAAATCCTAGATATCTGATAGTCTGGCTTATTTCTATGGTGTATTAGCACCCTATAAAAGTTACATGTCATTTATTTCAAGTTTAGAACCCTCTCAAACTTCAGGGGCAAACCAAACTTGAACCTTTTGTGGCTGGAATTCTGTTTACCTTTGGCCAAACCTTGCTTCCTGAATGTGAGTCAGGGAGGTGAGGTGAGAGGGGGCTCCTGAGGCCCCTTGGACATCAAATTGCTTTTGCCAAACAACACTTGGATAGGTTAAAACATGAATGAATCTGAAACACGTAGATTAACTTCCTGTCAGAATACTCTGGGGCCTACACACAAAAGTATATTGTGCTGGGCAAATGCATTTTGAGCGTTGCCTTCCGCCAACTGTGAGGCAGTATCTGAGATTTTTGCCAAACACAGGTTGAAATTGGGTCAAGCCAGATACCTTCCACTACCGATAAATATATTAAATAGTTTCTATAAAGGTTATTGGATAATCCAATTGAATGAGGACCCTGGAGAAATTTGGACATTTCTTGTGTTGAAACATTTATCTTCAACCAGTGACAAAGAAAGATTGGACTCTAAGATACAGTGCCCAGTTCAAGGATGGCTATGATTCCTTTGTGTCTATCAGAATACAGGCTAGCAAGGAAGGCCTGGTGCTTGAATGAAGGAGAAATAACACACCATGTTCCCTGTGCCTTTCAGATAGAGGAACTGATGAGTGCATTGGAGAAGACCAGACAGGAACTGGATGCCACCAAGGCACGCCTGGCCTCCACACAGCAGTCTTTAGCTGAAAAAGAAGCCCATTTGGCCAACCTCCGGATAGAAAGGAGAAAACAGCTGGAGGAGATCCTGGAGATGAAGTGAGTATCCATTTTTGTTTTCCTGGTTTTTCTTTTCTAACTTTTCTTCAGGGATGGGGAAAGGAAGGCTAGAAAAGACAAAGATTTTGAAGAAAGAATAATCTGCCCAGCACTTAACTATTCATTTCCGTGACTATGCTTCTTTTTTTTTCTTTTTTTTAGTTATAGCTTCCATGTCCCAATTTGCACATTTTTCATATCTGTTATTAAAAAAAAAAAATCCAGCATTAAATTTTGTGTGTCTGTGTTTTGCGGACGGCGCTGTTATTCTTAGATTTGTCTCAAAGGTCTGAGCTGGCCAAGAGACAGAAGCCTCGTTAAGCACAATAGTAATTTGAGTGCTGCTCAGAGTTAAGTGGAAACTTTTCTGAGGAGGTATTTCCTAATTGTGACTATAACTTTGTTAATTATATTCTTTTCACATGTGTACAATGCGTAGCTTGTGCTGGCTTTCATAGAGTCTCAAGGTTGGCACCTCTTTGTTTAGAAAGCAAGGACTCTGATTTGCTGGGCTGATAAAAACAGACTTGGAAATCCCCCTGCTACCTCTTCCCCCTCACCCCAGGGTAGGGTAGGTGAGGGGTAGGGGGAGACAGGAACCAATCTCTTTCTTTGATTTAATCTATAAAGTGTGACCTCATGCTGGGCAATGATACTTCCTGTGGTGCTGTGACACACCCATCTCCACCTAGCTCTTATTTCATTCTTAACACGAAATAATATCACCATGGAAGAACATAGGGAAGAAAATTGCTCAAAGATTTTAGAAATAATCACTTGGCTGTGGATCTGTTCCTAAAGAAGTAGGCAAGAAGCAGCATCTCTCTCTATAAGTTAAGATGAAATAATCACTAAGATATAATTTAACTTCCTTCCACAGTAAGGGAAATGTACATAATTATGGCATTTTAAGCCTGTAACATAGACTTTGAAATTGGTGGCTAGGTATGGAAGCATGACCTTATCCTGACCCCATAAGTCTTACACATGGTTAACATTAAACCCAGAAAGCTTAGATCATGGAAAATATGGAATGAAATATTTTGAAGGATTTAATAATGAGGACAAAACTTTCATTCCTTGTCAACTACCTCAGTTTCTCCAAGACCAAAGAATAAGTAGTTTTTTTAATACATAAACTTGCATTTCTCCTAATAAATAATACATAATAAAAACAGATATTATTATCCTCAGTTTAGAAGTGAGGGAACTGAGATTCAGAGAGATTTCAAGTAATTTGCTTAAGGCCATCTGGCCAGGATTAAAACTGAAATCTTCTACATCAACCTCCCTTTCTACTGTCTTATTTTCTCATGGAGCTTATGTGCATTCCACCAAGCCTGAAACTTTCATCAGTTTGAGTCACTGTGGTTATCATAATGCCTAGAACAGTGCCCAGCATATGGTAAATGGTCAGTAAGTGTTTATCGAGTGAGTGAATAGATTGAATGCAAAGACTGGATTTTATGTAGCTAAGAGGAAGAGTATTTCAAACATCTGTGACATTACCAGCTTGAACAATAATTTATTAACAATAGCAGTACATTGATTCCTTCAGGCTTTTTATTCTTTTCCATTCACCAGCGCCACTTCTGCCCCCTTGTGTGTTGTGATGTGTGAAGTTCAGCCTAGTTTCTCTCATTGTTCTCCAGCTATCTCCAAGGTAACTCTGTATCTCTTGGAGTGATTTATTACGGCTTTTTAAGGAAATGTCCATTATGTCTTGTTTATAAAAAGGACATATACTTTCAGCATTTTGAGAGAGTGAGTAACAGTTAAGCACACCGATTTGGGAGTCATCAGATCTAGGTTGAAATCCTGTTGCTTCCACTTGGCGGCTGTGTGATTTAGGGGAAATGACCTTAACATCGCTGGCCTTTCTGTTTCCTTCTGTCACGACTTTCGTGGAGTGTTTGAGAGGAGAGCCCCTCAGGAGGGCTTGGCACACAGAAAATGATATATGTGCGTAAATGACGCTATCAGCCAATGAAAATATGTCATTTGTTTAGTATACTTTGTGAAGAGTATCATTTATCTAAAATTTGGATTTATTTTTCTTAAACATATAAACCTTTTCCGTGTGTATGTTTTCCCACTTAATTTCATGATTTCAGATAGCACCTAACTAAGACCTCTTTTGGTGAATTGCCACATTATTGCTCAAGTGCTTAATCTTCTGCCACTGCAAAATAAATACAGAATTCTTCTGTTAATTCCTTTGGTAAAAGTAACAAAGCCCTGCTTCATTGAGCCCAATATGGACCCTATTCACTATTTAACTGGCCCAGAAGCCCCACTTATGGGCTCCTTCCCAGGACTATGGGGACACAGGTATGGGGAATTATATTGACCAAAAATCCCAATTAGATTCAGGAGCCTCCTGGGCTGTTCAAGTCAACCACCTGGTTTGATCAATCCTGATTTTTAAGCTGAGTTGACATATTGGTTACTGGACATTAACTGAGTCAACATAAGTTAGTGGAAAAACTCAGATGGGTATATCCCTGTCAGTATTTACTGTCACTTGTGACAAGCATTATTGGGTCTCTCTCTCTCTCTCTTTTTTTTTTAAGGTTTTATTTATTTGAGAGCAAAAGTGAGAGAGAGAGAGAGAGAGAGAGAACGCATCAGTAGGGGTAGGGGGAAAGGGAAGCAGACTCTCCCACTGAGCAGGGAGACTGACACAGGGCTCGATTCCAGGACCCCGAGATCAGGACCTGGGTCGAAGGCAGATGCTTAACTAATTGAGCCACCCAGGCGCCCTATTGGTTTTCTTTCAACTTGGCAGGTATCCTGTAAGCAATTTTAGGCAAAGTCTAGCTATTCCCAATCCGTGTAGGAAGGGAGAGGTTGTATGGTGTTAGAGGATGCAGGGGTTGGGCCGTGAGTCAGGAGAAAGGAGCTGGGATATGTTAACTTACCCATAATATTGAAGGAGATCACTACCTGGTTACCTCAGTTTTCCCTTCAGTAACATGGAGGTGATAATAACTCCTTTGCCTACTCTATAGAATTGTTGTACAGACAGGATTTTTTTTTAAAGTACTGAACTGAAAATGAGTATAAATCAGCATGTGTGAAAGTGCTTTGAAACATAAAAGGGGCTTTTGAAATGAAAGGTGGTGTCTGTTAAATTCGTTGTAAAATCAAGTGTCACAGAGTTTTAAAATTGGAAAGCAGCTGGGTCCAGCCTCCCAGCGTGCATAAACCAGACTCCCATCCATGGAATTACTACTAGGGAATTCACCAGGCCCTGGTGAACACCATTCCCACTGGCACTTGCAGATACCTCACTGGTACTTACATGGAACTGAAATGGCTTTCTGTGTAATATTCCCACTTGTCTTGGTTTTTCTTTTAATGTTTTGCCAATATAAAGAATGTTTTCTGCTGTTCTATCTTATTAACTTAATTTTAAGTAATTATAAATTGATATGCAGTTATAAGAAATCATTTATCATTTATAAGTTATAAGAAATCATTTTCCTCAATAGTAATATTTTGAATAATTATAAATTATAGCATAGGATCACACCAAGAAATGGATATTGGTACAACTTACCAACTTTATTCAGATTTCTCTGGGTTTAAATGAACTTGTTTTGTGTATATATTTAGTTATATGCAATTTCATCACATGTGTAAATTTGTGTAACCACTGTCAAAGTCAATATATAGAATTATTCCATCATTATAAAGATCCCTCATGCTACCTTTTGATAACTACCCCCACAACCCAGCTGTCATTTATAACCAGTGTTTTGTTTTGTGTTTTATCATTTTAGGACATGTGCCATAAACATCTGCATTTTTCCCTCTCATTCTCCTGGAGCAGTGTAGGAAATTATCTTCTTAGTTTAAATTTAGACTAAATTTAGAATGAGAAAATATTGCTTGATTCCTCTAATTTAAAGATTTCTCATGAGTTGGTTTTATTTTATTTATAGTGTAATTTCTTTTTAATGTTGGATATCTAGAACCTGTCATGTGGTAGGCATTTTATAAACTTTTGAGGAATGAAAGGATGAATTAGCACAAAAATTCATATTCGTTGAGTACCTACTATGTGGCAAGGGTTGTTCTAAGTGAACAAACAGAAAAATCCCACCTGATCAAGCTTGCACTTTAGTAAAATGAGTGGAGGAAATGAATGAACTAATAAGCAAATAAATGAATAGATAGATGAGAAAAATATTTTTTTCCTATAACCAAGGAAATTTGGAATCCCACTTAGAAAGCTAATCCAAAGGTAAGGACCCTTGTAGGTCTTTGGGATAAAGAGGAACATGGAAAATTCAATGTAATTTCCTAGACTGAGAACCCTTTTAGAGACCTAGGTCAGAGGAGAGCCTTTGACTGTATTTCATAGAGGATTCTTCCTCCCAACACCTCCCCATTCAGTTTGGTTTTTATTGGTTAGTATCCTAATTGCCTGTCATTATTCTGACACTGAAAGGAACTGACAGTCCCCAACCTGCATTTTCTTTCTTTTTTTTTTCTTTTAAAGATTTATTTATTTGATAGAGAGAGTGCACACCAGTGGAGGGGAGGCAGAGGGAGAGAGAGAAAATCTCAAGCAGACTTCCCACTGAGCGTGGAGCCTGATGTGGGGCTCAATGTCAGGAGCCTAAGATCATGACCTGAGCAGAAACCGGAAGTTAGCTGCTGTACTGACTGAGCCACCTAGGTGCCCCAATCCTGTATTCTCATAGAAGAGCACTATATTCACTTTCCTTTGTGTATAAGATTATTCTTTTTATTTTTTAAAGATTTTATTTATTTATTTGACGGAGATCACAAATAGGCAGAGAGGCAGGCAGAGAGAGTGGGGGGGAAGCAGGCTCCCCACCGAGCAGAGAGCCTGATGTGGGGCTTGATTCCAGGGTCCTGGGATCACGACCTGTGCCGAAGGCAGAGGCTTTAACCCACTGAGCCACCTAGGTGCCCCTATAAGATTATTCTTTTACTTAAAAAAATATTTAAAACCTCTTGCTACAACA